ATGTGAGGCCCATTTCCATTACAAGTTTATTTACAAAAAATGGTCCATATTACAAAGTTTGAAAATGTAGAAAGTTGAAGTCCAAGATGTAATCCTAAACCTGCAAGCCAGCGTGGATTTTTCGGCCATCATTCCCTATTATTCCCTAACAACACAGGAGCCAAGACCATTTTACAAACGCGAGCTAATTTTCACAACCGAAAAGCAGCACCTCCAAGCCACATCTCACGCATAAGATAAAAGAAAAATCTTGTTACAATATGAGGAATAAAATAGAATATTAAACAACATATTAGGACAGCATATTAGTACACACCTTGGAGAACCACATCCATAAACTAGCGGCCACTTCACACACTGTGGCACGTTTTTCACGTAAACAAATTTCCAACCTTACATGATTCCTCTTTTTAGGATTCGGGCTAAGAGGATTGGAGGTGCTGCCCGGAGAAGGTGAAGGACCAACAAACTTTTCCAGGGTCACCTGTTGTCTGACCATACCCGCCCTCGAGGTCAAAACATTTTTGACAGTCTTGGATGCGGTAGACTTGACCAGACGCTCGCGTAAATTCGACATCTTTCCTGCAAAAAGAAACAAGAGTCAGCATGCCATAAAACACCAAGAAACACAAGTCGAGCACGTCATCTATACCTAGAAGCTCAAATGACTCAGCCTTAGTTTTGCAGTCAAGAAGAGCTTTGGTATTTATGTAATGAGCTGCCCGGGAAGGCTCCCCGTCTTCAGAGTAGAGCAGGTTGCCATCCTTGTCCACCACATCGGTAGAGATGAAACTCTCCACGAACGGTGTCAATGCTTGAAGAGATTTCTTATCCTCAGAGCACAACTGATCGTGCTTCATAAGTAATTGGTCTATCCTATACCGAAAATGGGCGCACACACACTACAAGGAAAATTTTGACATGGGTCGCACCATGTCCCGACCATCCTTCTTTATCGTCTCCATCGTAACCAGGGAGCTCTTAGCCGCCTCTGAAAAAGGCTTTACGACCAAAAATCTAAACTTGAAATTTTGAACAGACTCCGAGTAGGACCAAAACAGCCTGCTCTGTTGCTTGAAAGACATCCAACTCTGCTTCTACTCAGAGGTGCTCCTTTACAGCTGAAAGATACAGAAGAAGGATTTCATGGTAGCCCCTATCCGGAGATAACAACACACCAGCTCGAATGCCCAAATGAACGCCAGAGCATTCAGGTGAAGTTGGGCAGGAAACAATTAAAGATGGTAGAATATCGCCCCTTGGAAGTCCGTGAAAAGCAGACGGTACCCTGCTTCCCTAAAAGCGAACTCATACATACGAAATCTCCTTTCCAGATACACCGAGCATATTCGACCATTCTCTGTCGAGCTAATCGCCCTCCAACTCATGGGTGCATCTCCGACCCTAACTTTGAGGAGATCAAAGTTATTGGCTTCCTCCTTGGTAAATGTTGACTTCGTCACGAGAGGCTCCTAGGAGACCCAACTAAGGTCCCCCTCTATGACCCGTACATTGGCATACTCGGCGGGAGGCACATCTTTATTAATATTTGCCTCAACGTCGGGGATGGTTCCCTCATTTTGATCAACCATTTCACCTGAAAAGTAGAGGAAGCAAAAGTGAATTTAATGAAGATCAAGTCCACCCTTCCACCACAAATCAAGTGAAAGGGCGAGGATTAAGTGCATTGATGTCTCCTCAACTCAAGGCCTTATCAACGATAAAGGGTCTCGACGAAAACCTCCCCGAACACGGGGATACGTCACCAAAACGTGTAAAGACCTTAAAGGGGGATAAGCCCCGCGACTACTATGATGTGTCGGGCACATAAAGGTAAAACCCTCAGCGGCGAGGACCCCAATGCCCGACAAAAAACATAAAACATTCTCACACAACAACCTAGGAAGATCTACAGACATAGGACATCCTAGATTTATGTTCTTCAAGACCTTCATGAATTTCCCATAAATTTCATGTGTTCATCTAGAAACACATGAACTTCAATCGGAAAAATCATGAACCGTCGATGAACTCAAGATAAATTTCTAGAAATTCATGCATTTTCATAAGAAAGTGAAGAACTTACTTGAACTCAGAGGTTGAAGATGAAGATCTTAGGGAAGGCAAGAGCAACTGACGGTGGTGAAAGGATCTTCGGCGACGGATGCTTGTTGCAGAGCAAAAGATAAGGAGGAGAGAAATTTTTGTGAAGTAAAAATGAATCATTTCCCCCCTTTATATAGGTTATCTTGCTCGCATAGGGAAACGTAAAGGGCAAAACGCCATCATTGCCTAGCCTCCTAGAACTTAACAAAATTTATTGTGCCTTCACACGTGGCAAAAGAAGCTGTCAATTAGCATTCTCAAAACTGACATCTCGCATGCTTGTGAAAAGACAAGTTCCTTCAGCTCCTCGCGGGCATATTCTCCTCGACAACGTCACCAGATCAGCATCCGAGTTGGAGTCTCATCGACATTTTCATCATCAAAAGAACATGTCTGATCAATGTAAAACACACCTTTCATGTTCGACCACATCCTTACATCTCCAAGGAGACCACGCGCAATCAACCGTTGACTAAAAGAACTATACGCACATGTGCGTCCCCTAAGTTTTTCGCTCAAATAGGGCGACCTCAAAGATCTCCCCGCAATACGGTTCTTGCCCCTTTGTCGACCAGATAGGTTAACTCAAGTCATTACTTCTCACATCGAAGCAACGACTTGTGGGGCTCTTGTTCTAGACTGGACTGGCACATGCCCCATAGTTGGGCAAGGCACAATCCAGTCTAGCTTAAGGCCAAGCCTAATATGATCATTGGGCACAATATAGTCGTTGGACACAATATAGCCGTTGGGGAAATCCCCCTCACGCGTTTGATAATTCACACGACCTACTGCCCCTCTGAAAGTCACGTGGACAGTTGGACCAGGTCAGAGATCACGTGCTAAATCTTCCACCTAGCAGTCCCCCATTAGCCGAACAGATATTTCGGTCACGTGGAAGACTTTATAAATACTCTCTCTCTCTTGAGAGGGTCAGGTATTCTAATCATTCTTACTCATACCTAAATATGCGTACTTGCTTTCTCTTTAGCCCAAACACTTACTTTGCCATTGGAGTACCTTGCAGGTACACATCCCTCCTCTCCTACAATCATTGTTGCTGCCCTATATTGAAGGCCAAGATGATCCATTCTGATCACTCCAAATCAGCTTATGTTTGAACTCGGAGGATGATGATGATGTGGTTTAGACATAACATAATTATTGAAATCTAAATTTTTGTGTCCTTTTATTTAAATGATGATGTATAATATGGAATGACATATTATGAAAACTTGATTTGGTTCATGGGATGCAAATTTGGGATGTCATTGTTTGCCTTTATTTGAATGGCATTGATATGGATCACATTAGCATGATGTTGATTTATCAATTCTTTTAACTTCCTATTTCTGGTCTTTTATGATGCAAAAATGATGATGTAAAAATAATGAATAAAATAATTTGGACTTTTTCTATTTATTTTAAATTGAAATTTTAAATCTTAAGTGATGACAAAGATGTAAAGTGCATGAAATGAATGAGTATATGAATTGAAAATGAACACTTATGAGACCTTGTAGTCTAATGCACGATTCTTTCTTTGTTGACTTTTCAAGAGGAAACTTCTAATGCAAGAATACAAAGTCCAAATTAAAATATAAATTAAAAATGGCTAAGGGATTGAGACGAATAAACTAAAGATGAATTAAGAAATCAAGGGTAGTTGGTTTAAAAAGTTCAAAAGTTGATATTTGGTTGACTTTTGTTGACCATAATGAATTATGCCAAAAAATGCAATGTATGTAGTGATAAGTGATGCAATTGACTTAAGAAAAATGAACAAAAACTTGAGGATAAAATTAGGATAAGACAGATGGTTGATGATCTGCACGCCATGTAGGACAATCGAGTATTACCTGTGCAATCCATGACCTACAAGCTACATGGGATGGATACACTCCCGACTCATTTCTCAGATGTAGGGGACTATGCATGACTTAGCTCTTGTGGGTGGCAGTAGGATAAACTGAATCCAGATAATATGCTTATAGAAGGGCCTTGAATGGTCATGACTGTGTGACTGATATAGAAGTTATACGGTTGTGGATACTTCATTTGATTTGATGGAACTATAGCGAGTCACAATACTTAAACACCTAAGTTGGACTTTACCTAAAATCACTACACGTCTATTAGTTTGATAATTGACTATTTTATTAGAGGTTGATGAATTATGATGAGATAGGCATTTTTATTATGCAAATCAATGTGTGAGACCAAGTAGATGGTCTCGGTGAGATGATCATATAGTATTGGTCGGTACTCGTTCGTGCAGGATGGGAATGAGATACTCTAATGGACATTTCAAGTAGAACTTGATCCATATATAAGGATGGTGAGAGACTTGGTGATTTAGATCGAGAATTACTTGAGGTTAGTATTTCGCCGCATGTTGTTATAATATTTTTCAAGTATGAAGGCACTTGAATGGGATTTACGACTGGGACTTGACACTGATGTAGTTGATTTCTACCGTATTGAATACGTTGTTGTATTGTTGTATCCGTTATTCACTATCTCATCCACCATTAATCATAGATTCAACCATCCAATTTGATCTTCTTTAAAAAAAATGTATGATCAAATATTTTCATATAAATATGGAAGTAGTATCATATTCTCACAACTTTTGAACAAATAAAGCAACACAATTTTATATTTAAATATCAAGAATTGAAATAACAAATATTTTAAAATAAATTAAAATTACAAATATGCAATATATATGTCAAATATTCTTACTCATTTACAAATCTATGGATTTTTGCTCTAATACATGTTGAAAATGTTGATCATTGTTAATTTTAGAGCAATCAATGATAATTTTCTCATAACTCTAGAATATACAAATTACAGCAACAACAAAAAAACACCTTAAAAGATTTTGAAGATCAAAGTGTGTAGTGAAATATATGCTTTCCAAAATGTGGATGTGTGACTCCGAGTATAAAAGCTATCATAGCAATGAGAGACTGTAAATTCAAATACACAAGATAACACCATCATCAGCAATTGAGATTAATCATATTATAGTTTGTTATTTTGTTACTTCACTTATTAACCATTACATTATATATGTATATATATAACTTTGAATGTGACAAGGGTTTCCCCACGACCGTTTTCCGATGAGGTTTGCACCTGCAAACCATGTTTCACAATTACAGGAAGATGATCAGAGAGACAAATGAATTGATGAAGGCATATCGAGTAGGTTGAATCTAAGTGAAAGTGGGGACAAAGATGATAGAGGGGAATGCGATATGGTGCTGGTGGAAGAAACACCAAGGTAATGGCAAGGAAATACAAACATACCCTTATATTCTCCATGATTTGGGAACAAAGCAAAATCTTCATTTGGAACTGCAGAGGTGCGGATAATAAGGCATTCATACGGGTTTGTAAGAACTATATCAGAATGAATTCTCTTGATATTTTCATTATCCTGGAAACTAGAGTGGATCCTATGAAACTGCGGAAATTTTTTGCTCAAGTGAGATTTGATGGTTACATATTCTCATATGTGATGGGTTGTTCAGGAGGCATTACTATGGGTTAGAGAGAGGAGAAGGTTTCAATCACTGTTGAATAGATGCATTTCCAATTCATTCACACTAGAGTCAAGTATCACGAGGATAGAGTGTGGTATTTTACTTTGGTGTATGTGATCCCTAGTGAAAATGCTAGAAAAGAGCTATGGGAAAGACTCCAATGTGTGGATCAAAGCTTAAGAAGAGGATGGCTCTTAGGAGGTGACTTCAATGACATCTTGATAACATCTGAGAAAAGAGGTGAAGTCCATGCATCAGTCCGAAAATGCAATATGTTTAAGGATCGCATCAGTTTCTACAATCTTATGGACATTCAGTCCATAGGTCACAAGTTCACTTGGCGGGGACCCATCCATCATGGGGGTCTTAAAATATATGATAGGTTAGACCGCACTTTGTGCAACAACTCTTGGCGTATTAAGTGTGCAGCTTTGTTCAAGATATATGAAGTCATCCAAACAATATAGAAGAGGTTAATGAGACAAACTCATGTCTAATTCCTAAAGTGATTAATCCTCAACTTTTCACTCAATTTCAGCTTATATTATTGTGCAATGCTATCTATAAGTCGTTAAGCAAGTGAATTGTGCATAGGCTTTAAAACTCGTTGACAAGATAATCCCCCTATCAAACAAGCTTCATAGTAGGGAGAAGCATCTAAGATAACATCATAGTTTCCCAATCAGTCCTTCACATCATGAATAGGATAAAGGGGAAACATTTTTTTTGTCATGAAAATCTACTAAGCTAAGGCGTATGATATGCTAAATTAGAGCTTTATGTAAAAGGTTCTTATGGGAATTGGCCTCCCCGACAAGATCATTCAGTTATCATGGCATCCATAACCACTATCAACATGGTGGTTCTTTAGAAGGTCCAAAAAGATAAGTACTTCTCAACTCACAAAGGCATTAAACAAGGAGACCGTATCTCTCCTTTCATATTTGTCCTATGCACTATCACACATACTAGATAAAATGGAGGAAGGCAAATTAGGAGTGCATGAAAGCAGGAGGGAAATGCCCAAAATATTCTCACTTAATGTTTGTTGGCGACCTATTATTATTTGGAAAAGCGATTGTTAGGCAAACGAAGAAAGTAAGAGAAATGCTTGACAAATTCCGTGGATTTCAGGGTAAAATATCAGCTACGAAAAGTCAAGTCTCCTATACTCGAATAATAATAACTCTATAACTGAGAAGAAGCTTACTCTGGTAGCAAGGATCAAAGAAACAAAGCAGTTAGTCTTTTACCCTGGAGTGTCAATCACAATAAAACTCCCTAGAGCGAAAGACTTTCAACACATCATTGATAGAATCAAGACAAAACTGACAATGTGGAAGGCTATGCATTTATCCTTGGCAAGAAGAGTCACTTTAGCAATATCTATTCTTGAAGCCATTATGACCTATTCCATGATGAGTAATAGGATGCCAAGAGTAATCTTGAAATATATTAATTCAAAAGGCTCAACGGTAATTCATCTGAGGCGACTTGGATGGAAAAAAGCACCTACACACAATTAAGTGGAGTAATCTTACTAAAGCCAAAAAGGATGGGGTCTAGGTTTCAGAAACCTAAAAACAATGAACAAAGCATGCTTAGCAAAGCTATGCTGAAAATTATTTAAGGGTGATAAAGCCTTATGGTGCAGTGTTCTCAAAGGTAATTATAGAAGGAACTATGGTGGGAATGGTATAAGTGAAGCGAAACTACATGACTCTAGTCTTTGGAGGAATCTAGTTAAATATTGGCCGAAGACTAGCAACACAACCATCAATAGATTGAGAGAGGTTTTTCAGTAGGACATTTTGGACATGAAAAATGTAATTCATCCATCAATATGTGAGATGGGCATGGATGAATGCACAATGATGGTAGCTGAATTATGAGGAATTCTCAAAGGTACCAAGTTGTTTAACAATAGTAGTTTGATGAGATTGATTATACAAACTGACTCGTAGGAAGCGCACGAAACAATCATGAAGGAGCATCAAGAGAGGGCCATTGGTATGTCATTGGTGCGCCAAATTCACCAAAAGCCGAGGAAGTGGGGGAGTATTGATGTATCAAACAAATGTGCGGATGGATTGGCAAAAGGATGAGAAAGACATAACTTGTGGACTAATTTTTCATTTTTTTTGGCAGATAATTACTGTAGTGTTACTCTAACTTTGAAAGACCCAATTTTATTTTTGAAAAATAGGGCAGATAATTATTTTTTTGGCACATAAGAAAGGATTTTTGAAAACTGGGGGTAGATGAAAAGACCCAGAGATTATCTATGTGGAATAACCGACATTTATATATTGGGGGACAAATCATACTTTTGAAATTGGTATTATATGCCTTACCAATATATTTTCTTTCTTTAAAGTTATTCCAGGTATAGTATCTGACCTTGAATATCTCTTTAAAAAGTTCCTTTGGGGTGGTGGTATAGATAACAGGAAAATTAATTGGGTTCATTGGGATAAGATGTGTCGAGAAAGAGAGGATGTATTTTAGTTATTAAATATTTAAGGGCGTTTAATCTGGAACTATTAGGAAAATGAGAGTGGAAAATATGTACCAAGAAAAATAGTTTGTGGGTTAATGTCTTATTGACCAAATATGGTATACAACCAGCAGTAGAGTGAATAAAATATAAAGGATTGGGTCGACTTGGTGGCGGGATATAAAAAAGTTAGAAAGTGGGGGTTGGAGTTTTAAAATACATTGATTCTCTGAAAAGTTGTACAAGAAGTTAGGTAACAGATCTTAAATGCAATTTTGATTTTATCTTTGGATAGAGGATGAAATCGTGAAGAATAGGTATGCAGGACTATTTGATTTGATCGAGAACAAGGAAGTTTGGTTTAATGATGTGGTTAATAAATGAGAGGATGAGACGTGGAATATAAGGTGAAAAAGAGATCTGAACGAAGAGGAAGGAAAGCTACTAGAATAAATTAAGGAAAAAGCACAAAGAATATTTTTGAATGAAGAATCGGAAGATAAGTGGTTTTTAAGGCAAAAATTCTTATTTGATAAAGGAGGATTATTCCTCAATTTTAAAGGATTACACCAATTAAGGTACGAGATATCTTGCAACAACTTGGAGTGGTCTTATTCCACTTAAAGTATCAAAATTAGTGTGGAGAATTTGGAAAAATAAAATCTCAACTAAAGACAATCTCTCCAAGAAAGGGGTCTTGGATGAATCTCGAAATTTGTGCTTGTTTGGATGCAAAAAGGAAGAAAAAGTTACCCATGTTTTCTTCAAAATATAAAGGTATTCAAAAATAAGGATATTAGCGTAAAGAGAGTCTAGAATCAATTTAGATGTTGTCTTAGAATTGTTTAAAGAATAAGACACTTGGATTTAATTATCCTCTTATCGGATATAAAATCCATTCGAGTGTTTATAATGCTTTTGGAAGTTGGAGCACAGGATTGATTGTCTTCCAATTTAATTAGAAAGTTGGTGTGTATAAGAATTTTTCAAGAGTTTCTTATTATTCTTGTGTTGGGTTCTACTGATACTTGTGATCTGAATTCTCACTCATTTTAATATATGTAGAGATGGTAATGGGTACCCATCAAGATGAATACTAGTCTCTTGTTACCCGCTCCATTTAGTAAATATGTATTTTCCTCGTACTATGCGGATATTCGTCAGACGGATATTCAGGATTTTGAAATACTCACGGATATTTATAGATATTTATAGATACTATTATTTAAATACTTTTTAATAAAATAAATATAATTATCTAAATTTTTGTATCCCTTCTATAAACAAAAATATAGTTTCAAATTTAACACATAAAAATAATAACAAAAATAAATCACATTTATTTTATTTCTTCTTTTATCAAATAATATTTATACTAAATTTAACAAAATAATAACAGTTTCATATTCAACAAAATAATAATAATAGTAATTATTATTATTATTATTATTATTATTATTTTAAATTAAACAAATTAATATTTAAATAATTTTGCTAATTATTAATAGACAAAAAAAACAAGTAAAAATTGAGTAGTTTGATGAAAACTTACAGCAACTACACACGCAATTAATCCAGGTTTTTCTCGATAATCCATTCGTACACATACAAGAATGAAAGCTCCAATGTACCAAGGAACACCACCAGTAAAGAAACCCATTATAAACCTAGAAATAAATAAAAAATATTTAAATTTTTGTAATGCAATTTTATATAACCATACTCATTTTATAACAACTTTATTAACAAATTTTAATATAGTAAGTAAACTTACAATATCCAACCCAAGCCAAGTCCACAGCAAGGAAGGTGATGTTCTCTAACGGGTCTAGCCTCAACAACAACACGAACTTGCATAACATTAAAAAATGTGAAGATAACAATTAAAATATTGTAAATATTTATTTCAAAAATTATTTTTGCATCCTACTTTCAAACGTTAATACATGAAAAGAATACATAAATTTTCATGTGTTCTCAACCACGTTAATGGAAGTTTATATATAAAAAAAAACTATGTCAAAATGTATGCATGGTATACCTGGGAGAACATGATGTTCTTGTCCTTGATAATAAGTATGGATGCCACCATATAGATCATTTGATGGATTATGGTGTGGATAATAATTGGCAACACCTTGAAATGTGCCATAATAAGGATGATTAGAGATATTTTCTCTGTTCTTATCCTCCTCACTCATCATTGGAGAATCATAAAATCCCATGTTTATGTCATGTCTCTCAATTCAATAGTTATTTTCATCTACATGCATAATTAATACTTTATATGTTCTTTCTATTTTTAACACTCTTTAGTTTTTTTTTTATTGATTGGTAGATGAGGTTTAGACAAATTTAGCTTTAATATCACCTTCATTTTTTTCTAATTAATTTACCTCATATACACAATTTAAAAAAATTCACAAAGTGTTTCTTTCTAAAATTAATGAAAATCTAAAATTATTCTTTCTAATTAAAATAAAATATGTTTTTGTAGCTTTTTTTTATGATATAGAATATTTAAAAAAACAATTTTTCATATTATAAATTTATTGAGAAATTCAGCCAGAAAAGAAAATTATTTGGAGAGGTATATTTGTTTAAAGGATTGTTTGAATGTAAACTTCCATATCCGATTACTTTTGGTTCAGCCCACCAAATTTTCTAGATGTTTCAGTTGCGACCATATATAAAGAAGTTGAATTGGTTTTAAATGTCACAACCACCTTTTTTTAAACTTGGTAATCTCTCTTACGACCGACTAATTCAAAGGGATCAATCTCACCATCAACTTGTGGGAGCCTATTTAAAGTCATAGCAAAGGTCTATTTGGACTAACCCAACATAGGAATTTTTAGCACCTATCAAAATTCGAACTTGAGACTTTCAGATGAGAGCACTCTTAGAACCCGCCTTCACCAACAGGCCACCCGTGGGGATTCACATGCCACAACCATTAACCAGAAATCATCTTTTGGATGTGAGCTTCAGCTCAATATCATGTATATTACCATTAGAGTTGGGTATGCAAACAGGTCCACCCCGTTTAACTCGCTTCACATAAATCCACATATTAAACAGTTTGGGTTGACCTGCTTGCAATTATACACAAGTTATGATACACTGACTCGAGTTTGACCCGCGTTAGTTCAAAGGTAACCTGTGAGTCTTAATAAAATAAATAAATAAATCATTTTTATTAAAGAAATTAAAAATAGTAAAACAAACATTCAATTTTTTAAAAACTAAAAAATTACGATTGTTGATCATTTAAAATTGAAAACGTTAAGTTGTGAGTACTAATCACAAAACCCCTAAAAAATATTTAAAAATAATTTCAATATATACTTCAAATGAAACATTTTTTAGTGTTTATGTACTTGGTAGCTGCATTTTTTTACCGGTAAAGTTTATCATAGACAAAATTATAAGGAATAAAAGTATACTTAGTTTTAAAAAATAAATTTTAGACGGGTTACGAACAAACTCGTGAATTTGAAAATTTAACTTGCATAATTCACAATCAAAACGGTTAAAGCCACACAGAGCAAAATTTAAATATACTAAAAAAATGGTCTAAAACTTTTGTTGGCCATGGGTTAAACGGGCTAGCTCGTGTACCTCACTCCATATACCAACTCTAATTACAATGTGATTATATTTCCTATGTAATTTTAACATATTTAACACGGGAATTGAATGATAAAATTGAAATTATGATAAATCAATCAAATCAAAATTATAACAAACGATAAATCTAAAATATCTAAAATGCGACAAAATCCCAAAATACATAGATGAAATTACACGGTTACCGACAAAACAAATTCAGTCTTCTTTTTTTTGTGTTTGGAGAATTTGAGATATTTTTGAAGAATTTGATTTCTCATTAAACAACATACACACGTGACTTAAGCTTTTGAGCTCTCAAATTTCCCACGCATTCAACATTTAATACACCTAAATATTTAAGATATATCTCATAAATTTCTCCCCCTTTGACAAAAATAAAAAATAGAGTAAAAATAAGACTAACAACACACATAACAACATGTAATCACACTTAAGGGTGGCAAAGTGGGCAGCCCGCCCCGTTTAGACTCGCCCAGTTTAAGCCCGTCCAAAAGTGGGACGGGGCGGGGCGGCCTAACTTAGGCGTCCGAGCTCAAAAGTTAAGCTCTCACAGTTTACTAACGAGTTGGTGAGTTGGCGGGTCGGTCCGCTAATTTTTTATTTTACAATTTGATTTACTACATAGCTTACAAAAAAATTATTATTACCAAAGAGATTGACAAAAGAATTTTTTAAGAACGTATAATAGAACTTTAACATGTCTTAAGTCCAAACAGCTCAAAAAATTAAATAAATAAAGATCAATTACAACAAAAAAAAAATAACGAAATAAACTCAAGTACAATAAAAAAAGTATCAAAACAAATAATTAAATAAACAATATTTATCATCCTAATCCTATTTAAAAACTAACTACTAAAAGAATCAAATTAAGAATTTACAAAAGACAAACAATGATAACAATTACATTGCATAAAACTTCAAAGTGCATAAAATATCAACACCTGATTTTCTCATTGTTTACATCATATAAACTATTATATTGACTTATTCCTTAATAGTTAAATTCTAAATTTGTCACACGTATACACTAATCAAATTCTTTCTTTTCTTAAAATCAACATTTGTTTCTAAAGAAAACATGTGGGCTAATGTTTGACAACTTAATAATTCAGCATGACATACAATTGTTCTTTTATTTTAAGTTTTTCCAATCAACGCATGTATTAGAAAGTTATAGAAAGAACGTTATAATTGTAATTTATTTTGTTTGTATAATAATTTATAATACAATTTAGTCTACATAAACTTGAGAGAAGAGTGTTGTTTTTCTAGTTAAAGTTGTTTTAATTCTAAGTAAAAAATAAAAAGTTTCAGTAAAAAGCTCGTGGGCAAACTCGCTCCGCCCCACCTCGGCCCGCTTTTTCAAACGGGTTAGTCGGGGTGGACCAACTTAAAGTACCGAGCCAAAAATCTCAGCCCAGTCCGTCAAAAATGGCGGATCAAACGGGCCTATCTGGCGGATCCGAACCGTTTTGCCACCCCTAATCACACTACTATTTGCCACAAATTTTAAACACATAAATCATCACAATTACGCAACTAAGCAAAACACGAAAAATATACGCAATTTCAGATATAATATTATAATAATAGCAAAATAAAGACAACAAACAGGAAATTAATAACAAAACGGACAACATAAAATAAAAAATGTGCTAGCATGGATATATCAACAAAAATCTAAAACAACATCAATTTTCAAAAACGGTAGAAAAATTATGAAATAAAGACAACAAACAGGAAATTAATAACAAAACGGACAACATAAAATAAAAAATGTGCTAGCATGGATATATCAACAAAAATCTAAAACAACATCAATTTTCAAAAACGGTAGAAAAATCTAAAACAACATCAATTTTCAAAAGCTTGTTGAGAGTTCCATCAATTTGAACAAAGTATGCTTCCAAAAGCATCTCAAGCTCCTCAACAACAAGCTTATTGGTGAAGACACTATTAAAAGATGGTTTTCTCTGAGGCATTTAATCGAACATCTAACATACATATCAATTATAAGAGCAAAAAAGATGGTTCCTTTAACATCAATTCTTTTATTTCCAACAGAGCATTGTAGGTAGAATAATATTTGTGAGTCTATCGATGCTTTCCCTGTACAATGGCAAATACCAAGGGCTTTCTATAATAATTAGAACCAGAAATATGGTTGAGAAAGATTTAACAGTAAACAATGTCATCATTTTTTCACTTTTCTCTCCCTCACAAAAACTCATTCTATCAAAAGAATTTACGAACCTAGATTTGAGCATACAGTTCTGAGAGCCGATTTTCATACCTGCATAAACATGAATGAAAAATATCCAATAAATATTCCAGACAACCAGGTTTCATATTCTTATCGAATCCGCCCTTGGCATAGATGCATGCTATTGCTTTCACCTGATCGATGTACATATTCTATTTCATCTAATCCAAGGATACATTCGTACCAGGAAGATAACTCCAGCATGAATACAAATATTTAAGAGACTTGTAGGGATAGATAAAAAGTAATTGAATCACTTCATATTGTAAGATTGAATCACCTCCAATCTACCTGCAACATATTGTAAGATATTAACTCTTTTGTTATAGCTTATATAAATTGCACTAAACTTCTCTTGATTGATTGCAACTGAAGAAAACATCACAGTTTGTATTCTCACAAGCAATTGGTTGATAAAAAGAGGTGAACTTCCTTAACAACAAAAATGACTTGAATTCTCATAGTTTTGGATGTATAACTTTCACGTCCAAGTCGATCAACACCGCACCGCATCAATTAGCAGAACAATTAAACAACAATGGTGTACTAGTTATCAAGCAAGAGGAGCCAAATTTAAGAATAAATACTTTAATGACCTCCACTACTACATAGAGAGCCAAATCAAGTGATCATTAGTCTCTTTCGTTAATTTATGCTTCATTATTCTTTTATTTGATAACCGAAAACACCCCACAATCCGCAATGGGCACAACACAACTAGTGTAGATCATTAAAATATTTATGCCCAAATCAGTACACTACACAATTTTTCATATATAAACAAACAATGTCGTGTTATCTCGATAGGGTCACAGAAACAACAATGACGAACTTAGTGAGCAGTAGTATAGGCACAAGATGGTCCCTCAAGGGAACCACTGCTCTAGTTACCGGTGAAACTCGTGGAATCGGTCACGCTGTAGTGGAGGAACTTGCCGAGTTTGGTGCCACAGTGTACACTTGTTCTAGGAACCAAAAGGAGCTTAATAAATGCATAAATGAATCATTATGCAGTTATACGTATTTCATTCATTGTATAACATAATGTTTCATATACATTTTGGAGGCAAATTATTTAAGATTACATATGTATGTATATTGTAAGCGTGAATATCTAAAAACTGTATTTTATCTTATTTCATTAGTTTAAATTGAATGGAGTTATACAAACTAAATTTTAATAACACAAATTGTCAACAAAAATGTAAATTGGTCTATTTAATGCTCTTTTCATTGGCTGGTTCTTTAGGAAGTGCTAAGAAAGTTTTTACTAGTAAGGTTGCTATAGGAGTGGAAAGGTCA